AGAAATAAGAGCCAGCCTAATCCCAGAACCAAACCCAATTTAAACATTTTATAGGGCATTGGTGGATCAGTATATCCCACCACAGGGCATCAATAGGGCAACCCTCCAGTGATGGGCTGCACAAGTCAATAGAATAGCCCTCCGGTGCCAGGTTACACAACCAAGTGGTCAGAATCACTAGGGCAGGGCAGGCAGCCCTAATCGTCACAAGCCCCAGAGCCCAGCAATAAGCTTGGGCCTTGCTGCCAGAAGGGAGCAGGCTGCCACCCAATAGTGGAGTTGACTGCCATGGGTAGGGGCACCCAGGCTCTCCCTACTCCACCAGGTCCCTATCAGTGGCAAGTAGTCCCACCATTGGGTCAGGAGGGATCCCACCAAAACACACAGACTCTATATTCCCAGTACCACAACCGGATCAATGTCTGGCTCCCCTGGGCTATTTCCTTTCATGTCTCCATGCTCTGTACTCTGCAGGTCCTCCATCTCCTTGGGAGTACTCAGAGGGCAAGACTCCCACTAACTCCTACCCCTCATTGGCCTCAGTGGACAGCTGGGTGCTCTACAGGGTCTCGGCATAGCTGGTCTCCAGCAGCTTCTGCACAGAGACCTGCAAAACACATGCATGCTCCTCTCCAGTCAGCCCAGACTGAGCTGGGCTGCCCTCTTTTATAGTCTGCGTCCTGTTGGAGCATACCCAGTAAGGGCGAGGGGGTGTGGCCTCTTTGGCCCACAGGGTGTGATTAACCCCTACAGGGCCAGTGTGGGGTAAGTACACCCCATCCCACAGGGGTGAAGTAAACTTCCCTCTACCTGATCAAAGTGATGTTCTGCTCCCTATTTGTGCAGCTACTTCACATATTCCCTGGTAGTGTCCTAGGAGGTCTGGTAATCTATGCTTAACACTCTGCTGCTTTGGCTATCACAGTCTCTGGGACTTCCTCTGGGCAGGAAGCACAGAATGCATTCTGGGATAACTGTGGGTCCAAGTTGGGAGCTGATAGTACTGGGGAAGGCCCAGGGGTCAGGTGTATGGCGGGAGGTTAAAGTAACTTCATTGGAAACATTTTGGGGGTAAGAAGTACCTTGGGAAGGTAATTATATGGGGATGTGAGAATAGTATGTTAATTTTTCTTTATTCTTGGATCATTTCCTCTTTGGGCTCACTGAATGAGGAGCCATGAGTTGCATTTTCCATACTAAATTGACCTGAATATTCTGCACTGGGTTGCAGTTTTGCCCTATTACTTCCCCTTTCCCTGGTGTTGAGCATTCACATGTCCCAGTGACATGAGGCAGCTTTGTTGACTCTTCCCATATTACAGTGCAATGCCACAATGCTGAAAACACTTGTCTTTGTGTTTGATTTTACTACTGTGAGTAACCCCATTGAAATAATTGGATTACTCATGGTAATAAAGCTAAGTACATGCATAAGTGTTTGCAGGATGGGGACCCATATCAGAATAAACAGTGTGCAGTAATACTTAATTCATTTCAAAGCACATTTGAAGTGGCATATAAAGGGATAGTTTGGATACTCTGCCATGGCTGTGAAAATATTGTAGCTTATCACAAGTCTGACCTAGTAGATAGAGAACTAGTCTGGGACCTAGGAGACCTGGCTTCTATTCCCAACTCTGCCACTAGCCTGCTGGATGATGTTAGACAAGTCACTTTATCTGTCTGTACCTCACTTTTCCCAGCAGTAAAATGGGGATAATGATGCTTATCCTCCTTTCTAAAGCAATTTGAGATTTACTGATAAATACGTTAAGAGCTAGGTATTATTTAAACTGTTTTAAGTTCTTCCATTTTAAGGCTTTGGAAAAGGTTTATCTTTGTGCTGTTGTGGGCAGGGCTCATAAGACAAATCTCCTGGCTAAGGAGATGAGTGGTTTGTGTGTCAGCAATGTGTCCTGTGAAAGGTGAGTTGAAAATGGATGTCAATGAAGTTTAGAACCACACTACAGCACTCTTATGTAGTTCATTAATTGAGGCAGATATTTTAACCTAATGTCTGCCATTGGGCACCTTAATTCGGGCTGCTCCAGTTGGCTCAATAATGACACATTAAATTTTGAGCTTCTTGGGTAATAAAAAAGTTCCATTTAATGCCACTTACTAGTAAAAAGAAATTCATGATAACCACCAAATGCTCGACTAAACAAAGATAAAATACACTGAAATAAATTCAAGATAAATCAGCTATATTTCAACAGCCACTATCTACTAGACTGCTGTAATTAATACATAATTTTGTATGTGTAATTTTGTTTTACCTATACTGGAGTAAGGACAATAGTGTTTTCTGGGTATGTGGATGTGTCAACAGGCTCCCCATGAAAACGGTGTATAGTATAGTAGGAAAGGATACAAGGATTTTATTGTAATAACAAGACATAAGAACCTGTGGATAAGTCAACAGGAAGAGACATTTTAGTGTAAAACCTGAAAAGTATGGCTCAGACATCTTAAAAAGTTTGGAGGTGTCTAAGAAGGAGACAGGTCTGGAATCTGTGGATGGGTATGAATTTTGTACATTTTCATAATGCAGCAAAGCTTTCTTTGAGGAAATCAACCCCTTAGTTTAAAGCGGTTAACTGTTAATTCTACTTTAAGCGTGAGATTTGTTTGTTTGTTTGTTTTGTAGAGCTCTATAATACATGGTGGCTGAACAAATTTATAGCCATGTAGGAACTTAGCAATTATCTCAATGTTCTGCATTATGGTCACTTGCAGCTTCACATTGGTGGAGGGATAAAACTCAGCTCCCCCTGCTCTGAAAGAACAGGACTCTACTACTTGAGCTAAGTGAGAATTTTGATTTGTTCTTAGCAGTATAACACACAGTTGAGATGTGATTCCTTCCATTAGATGGCAGTGGAGCTGTGAGCGCTCTCTCCCAGTTCCCCGCCCAGTTCAAGACAATAGTATTTCATTAGAATATGTGGGGAGGGATAGCTCAGTGGTTTGAGCATTGGCCTGCTAAACACAGGGTTGTGAGTTCAATCCTTGAGGGGGCCATTTAGGGATTTGGGCCAAAAATTGGGAATTGGTCCTGCTTTGAGCAGGGGGTTGGACTAGATGACCCCCTGAGGTCCCTTCCAACCCTGAGATTCTATGATTCTATGAGTGATAGAAAAATAGCTTTAATGTATAATGCACACTAGGGGATCATTAATGTGCAGCAGCAAAGTCTACACAGACCACTTCCTGTTCAATATGTTAATGTGCTTTAGAAATCACCCACCCACCCCCATAGTGAGCATTGCTGCTAGGGTTGCCATCTCAGACATACAGAAAACCACGCCCCTGGCCTCTCTTCCCCACCTCATGCCAGCAGTGGTGCAGGTAGGGGGGGTCTCTAACTTTCCCCACCTCCAACCGTGCTGCAGGCCCCTGTGCCGCAGGGGAGGAAGACAGCTCCACCTCCTGTCAAACCTACAAGCAGCCAGCCGGGAAGGCGGCCCCATAACAACAACCCCGCCCCAACCCCTTCCTCCTCAAGATGGCAAGAGAGAATCCAGCTGGCCCTGGAGCTTGCTGGGAAGGAGTGGAAAACAGTCAAGTCCTCCAGGGGAGGCCTTCCTTTTAAAGGGCCAGGGCCATGGGAAGTCTCCGCTGAATATTTCTTCCCCTTTCACTCCTAGTGCTGGGTAGCAGGGAGAGAGCAAAAATAACCTGGCTCATCTTCACTGGCAACTGTCCAGGCAGAACAAAATCGGGCCAGGATGGTTAAAAACCCTAATTTCTTCACCATGTAGCCAAGCCCTAAGGTCGGTCTTGAAGGCAAAGTCAGCACTGCTTGAAGGGGAAGACGAAGGCCAGGCAAAGGGAAGGATGTCAGACTTACAATGCAGCCAGAAAATAATTTTGTGTACTTACCCCTTTCTGCTCGTTTCCAAAGTTGATGCTTTGGGAGTTGCTATACAAATGAACATATCAAGCATTCAGCTTTTCTTCAGAACTGCTGTGGTTAGCACTGGTGTAATTAGTGCTGAAGTAGGATTTACTCAGGAAAGGTACACACCCAAGGCCAGACAGTTCACCCTGTTAAAGCGCAGGCTTGGACTTATATGATTTGGGTCCTACTTCTGTGTCTGCCACTGACTTCCTGTGTGACCTTGGACCAGAGTTTCACAACAGTGCCTGGGTAAGTTTTTAGTTGCACCGTGCAGTCACAGCGATTCTACATACACAGTTCGGAAAATATGGCCCTAATCCCGCTGCACCTTAGTTTCCTCTTGTGTAAAATGGATATAATACCTCACAGAAGAACTGAGAGGATAAATTCATTTTGTAAAGTGCTTTGGATCCTCAGATGGAAGGACATTCAAAGTATTATTATTCACCTGATACTTAGGCCTTGTTCAAATGAGAGAAGTTACACATGTTCTTTCCCACCCAATTGACTGAACAGCACTTTGGATCCATATACATAAGCCTTCAGTCAATTGTTGGGGAGGCAACAGTCACAGTAATTTGGGTCTGGTCTACCCACAGTTTTTGTACCAATAATATTATGCCATTTAGGGGGGTGTTTTTTTGTTTTTGTTTTTTCCATTTTTACTGACATATGTATACCATATCATCCCTAGTATGGATACATTTATACTGTCATAAAGTGCCTTATACTGCTATAGCTTATTTCCCTTCCCAAATGGGAATAAGCTATCCTGGTAAAAGTACCTTTATACTGATATAACCACGTCCACATTAGGGAGGTTGTACCTCCTAGACCTTAACAATACTGATAGTGTTAAAGTGGTACATCTTGTGTGTGCAGATGAGCCCTTACCCTAAAATGTTGTAGGGATAAGGCCTCAATAAATTGAGGCTCAGTGGATTATGGCACAATCAGTGCACCTTCAACAGCTGTTATCCTTAGGGGAGCTCTGGGATGAAATTCTCCATTAAGAATAAAAACAGAATTTTAAAAACAAAGGGGTGTAAACCACATTTTTTCCAGAGAGAGAGAGAGACCAATAAATATACGTAACGAGAATGCAAAACTAGCATTTTATTTGAAGGAGGAGAAACTTAACATGCAAGACAGGGAAGTAAACAGAGTATGATTAAACAGTATTTCAGTACATGGAGCAAATAAAGCGAGCAAAAACATTAGCATATGGAATTCATCAAAGGACCAGCTTCTTATGAGCTGTTTTACATCATTTAGGTCCTTTCTGCTCAAAATATTTATGACAACAGCAAGTCATGGCTGCCACAAAGATGACAAATTCATTGAAGTCTACTTCAGAATCTCCATTTTCGTCCAGACCCTTGAAGAGTTTGTCAACAGCTTCCTTATCTTTCACCGACTAAAAGAGAAAAGAAGCAGTCCATAGTGAGACATGCAATTTATTCTGAGGTCCTAAAAGCAGCAGCAAAATTGTAATTTACTTGAACAATAGAAATGATGTGGTGTGGATCCAAACATCTTATTATCAGTGTCTGTAGAGTTTAGGGGCACTACCTGATCCCCGGTGAAGAAAGTGTTAACCTCAGCTCAGTTTCTTTGTACCTTTCCACAGGTGATTAAGGGACTAAATATAGATTCCTTGCTTGGGAGGCAGAGGGAGTAATATGTAGGGATGGGGGTGAAGAAAAGGGTTCCGTCAACCAGATTGTTACAGAGCTGGGCTGAATCTAGAGCAGTGGTTCCCAAACTAGGGGCATTTCTTGTTCAGGGAAAGCCCCTGGTGGGCCGTGCCGCTTTGTTTACCTGCCTCATCTGCAGGTTTGGCCTATCGCAGCTCCCAGTGGCTGCGGTTCACCGTTCTTGGCCAATGGGGGCTGCGGAAAGCGGCGGCCAGCATGTCCCTCGGTCCGTGCTGCTTCCTGCAGCCCCCATTTGTCTGGAGTGGGGAACCGCAGCCAGTGGGAGCGGCAATTGGCTGAACCTGCAGATGCGGCAGGTAAACAAACTGGCCCGGCCCGCCAGGGGCTTTCCCTGAAAAGTGGTGCCCCTAGTTTGGGAACCACTGATCTAGAGTCAACAGATTTCCTGTTATTATGTTTTGCTTCAGTTAACTTGTTTTTATTTCTGGTTAGGTTCCTTTAGGAAAAAAATCCTGGCTGACTTCCCCAGGGCTTTGTTTCTGCTGAATCATTCCACCAGCTCACAATAGGATATGCAGAACTTTGGAACTCCTGTTATGCTAATGCAGTGCTCTGTAATTTAATCAGGACAGTACTGTAACTTGTTGATCTTGTTGGAGAAAACAGAACAATACTTGGAAGATTATGGGGCACAAATACTCCTCTCATTGAGGTCAATGCCAAAAGTTCCATTGGCTTCAAATGGAGCAGGTCCGTGGGTTCATAAAAGTTTTGTGTGTGTGCGTGCGAGCGTACGCACATTTAAAAGGTCTGTGACCCAAATCCTGTCATTAAATGTATACTTATATATATGGAATTAATAAATGCTGTAGCTATCAACAAATCTATAGGTGCATGAACTGTACCTGCTTTAAAAACATGTTTAATGGTCAAACTTGCATAACACTAAAGATGCTAAACAAGATACTCCAACCCCAGCTAAAATCTTCACACCTGAATTTAAAAACATCCTTTTGCAGCCTGCTCTCCCCTATCCCCTCCAAAAAAATCCTTAATAAAATACATGTGTTTGAACTATACTAGAAGGTCACCAAACAGGCTCCCAAGAATGGGAGCATTAAAATAAGGCGTCTTCAGTGAGAACATCCTGTGTGCAGCCCCCACATGTGAATATTTTGGGATTGTCATCTTGTGTTCCAGCTGATCTTAGTGACTTGAACATGTTAGTCACGAGGAGCTGTGCACACACAAGGCAGACTCTGAAGCATTAGTAAAGTTAATTTTGCGTTATGGGATGAAAAAATAGTATCCTAGCCATGTCCTTTTGTTTTCAGCCTATCATAATTTAAATTGACCAGCTTGTTTCAAACTGCCCACAACAATTCACCTCTGGCTGAGATTAAACATGACAATTTCCAGGCAAAAATAACTTATTTTGAGAGTGTTTTAAAGATTTTTTTGAAAAGGCTTACAATAGGTCTTGAAGCTTGAGTACAGCTGGGTGAATAATGGAGTTGGAGCCTTTGGTTCACTGGCCATTTCAAAAAGTCTGAAACAATGTGGTTAGGTTCAAACAAAATTGAAATGTTTTATTTTAATTTTGCCCATTTGAAAATGTTTTGAATTTTTAAAATAAAATTCAAGAAAAAATGTTTAGAAAAATGTTGAAATGAAATTTTTGATTTTTCAGATTTTTTAAAAATCAACAATGGAGCCAAATCAGCACAAATTCATGAAACATTTTGATTTTGAAAAATATGCATTTTTCACTAAAAAAAAAAAAAAGTTTAGTTCTAATCTGAGCCCTGGCAATGATTTGTTCCAATGAATTTAAGAGGATGCAGTTTTTATAATAAACAGAGGATGGCAATAGAGACCTATAAAATATAATTAACTAAAATAGTGTGGTTTTGTTGAAGCTAGATTTTATACATATATGAAATTATGTAAATATTGATCAGTTTTACTGTGAATTTTAAATACTTAGCTTCATTGAAATCTGAAGGGTTTGAAGAGTCAGAGTCTAATTAGTTCAATAGCCATTATTTTATTTTTCACTGATTTAATTTTAATTTTTTTTTAATAAAATGAGGAATTATAACCTGAGATATGCCAAAAACTCAACCAGAAATTCAGGTTTGTGACTAGTCCTGGCTGAACAATATATGACACAAATTTTGTTCCTTTCTCTTTTTTCCAAATTATCCATAAACAAACTTAATTTTAAATTATTCAATGAATTATTTGTGGACCCATGTCCATACCCAGGGTCCCCGGCGGGTTGTACTGGGGCAGCTAGCCTGCACTGAAGTCCATGCCACCTCATCCTCACGAGTATTATTACCCATGCTAGATTAAAGCTACCATGGATATGCCTACCTGTGCTACAATTACACCTTAATTTGTTGTGTAAATGCACACAATAAAGCAGAGCTCTTGCAAATAGCTGAAGCCCTGAGTGATGACTGAACATCACACATTGATCTTAGTGCTCTAAGAATGCATGCACAGTTATTCGGAAGTTCAGTGTTGGGTGTGCACAAAATGGAAGCCACTTTTTGAACATTTGGCCCTGGGCCGTGACAACTAATGGAAAAGAGTTTACATTTAGGCAAACAAATGAAACTCCTGTGAGGCACCAGGGTGTGTGAAAGCAGAATTTGGCCCAACAGCTTTATGGAATTTTTAGTGATATAAAAGAAATGGAAATGATCAAGAATGAAAGTTATTATGACTTTGAACCAAGTAAAATTGTTATTGTACAAGTAAAGTGATGTGCAGTAAATAAGGAGAACCAATAATGGCAAGTGAAGTTAAACTTTTGCATTTACACCCTGGGAAGATAACACACATTATGGGTCGTGATTTGAACATTTGTTAATTTGCAAGAAAGATTTTGTGAATTGTTTAAAATAAAAATGTATTTTCTCTTCCAGAGTCTACCTCACTCATATTTGCTGCTAAATATGAATCTTTCTTTTAAAAAAACCAAAACCAGTAAATCTGGAAAGTGAGTCTGAATACTGCAATAAGCAAGCCATAGTAGGGATTAAACTCAGCCCAGTTCAGCAAAATGTGCATTAGCCATCTTTATGCTACAGAGACTTGTGCAAGACTTCAACAATCCCCAAATATGATACGACACTCACCACAGCTACAGGCGTGCAGTAGTTTGACCTAATGGGCCAAATTCTTCCCTTACATATGCATGCCTTACTGTTTCAGCTCAGTGAGAACCAGGTGTCTATATGTGAAGCCATGATTTCCCTTTACTAAATGAAGTTTGATAAAACAAGTCTGGATAATAGTCTAAAAATATATGAATGCAATTAAATGCAAGTCAAGTCACAAATTTTAGAAATGGATTATTGGTGGCGATGGCCAAATTCAAACATATTATTTGGCGCTGCCTAGAAAATGATAGTACCGAGAGTGGAAATGTTTGTGTTTTCTGATTGAAAAGTCAAAAGACATGAAATTTTTGGGAAGGAACTGAAGTGGAATTTTTCAGCTACCAGGCTGGAAGGCTATTGTCAAGTTCAAAAAGTTGAAAAAAATGTGGCTATGTTGGAACAAGAAGAGCCTTTCAGCCCAGCTGCCTGAGAACCAGACAGCTGGGCCATTCAGCCTTTCTGGCCCTAGGGCAGGAGTGGGTGTGAGGGAGGTGGGGAGACAGAGTTTTCCAGCTCTCAGTCTCTCTGGACCCTAAACCAGGGGGGAGGTGGGGAGGCTGGGGGTCAGGGCTCTCTCTCTCTCCAGCCAGTGCTGGGACTGGGAGGCTGATAGCCGGACAGCAGAGAGCCAGGGACCAGGTGCTCAGCCTCTGCAGCCCTTCTGGAAAGCATTTGTCAGACAGGAGCCTTCCAACAGGGAAGCAGGCAAGCTGTTATTTCAATTTTCCCAATGGAAAATTGAAATTTTTCATCAAAAGTGAAATTTTCCTCACAGGAAATTTCAGTTTTGTGGAAAAGGAGTTTTTAATTGGAAAATCATTCTGACAAAAATGTTCCAACCACCTCTAATGTTATCATTTTCTAGAAAATATCCTTTGAAACTTAATGTTTTTAAGAATGTCAGATATCTCATGATACCACATTGCAGAGCGTGCAATACTTGTCTACACTGGCACTTTACAGCGCGGCAACTTTCTTGCTCAGGGGTGTGAAACTCCTCCCCGCCGAGCGCTGCAAGTTTCAGCGCTGTAAAGCGCCAGTGTAGACAAGTATTGCACGCTCTGCAACGTGGTATCATGAGATATTCCACAGTATGCATCCGATGAAGTGAGCTGTAGCTCACGAAAGCTTATGCTCAAATAAATTGGTTAGTCTCTAAGGTGCCACAAGTACTCCTTTTCTTTTTAGTGTAGACATGCTACAGAGATAGACGAAAAATATTTAAGAGCACATTCTCATTATTTAACAATGCTGTTATCTGAAACATTTTCTTTAGTTCTTTCCCTTTATTTGTTATTAAGAAGGACACTTCACAGACAATTCTTCCAAGTTCATCTACTCTGTCCCACTGCTGCTTATATACCATACTTGTATACATGCTCAGATATCACAGTAAGAATTGTGGTATAAATGCCCAGACCAGGAGACTCCCCATTTGCTGTCATTATATTCAGTTGTTAGCATCACAATCCTTTTTCACAGCAGTTAATTGAGACATCATATGGGATTACAAATTCTGGTGGGGAGTAAACAGCAGGAGCAGATGACTTCGGAAGAAGTAAATATTCTGTTTAAATGCCCTTGCC